CATTGATGATATGAATATGCCACAAGTATGTACACATACCTTGAATACCTGTACATGTACATGTACTGTACTGTACTGTACTGTACTGTACTCTACTGTACTCTACTGTAGGTGGATACATATGGTACACAGCAACCCATTGCTCTTCTCAAGTTGTTGCTGGAGAAAGGAGGTATGTATGACAGAGGGAAGGACCTTAACTGGAAGACATTTAAAGATATTGGATTTATAGCAGCTATGGGAAAGGTAGACTGAATTATTAGTACAAGCAATGTCTAACAGAATGTACTGTATCTGTACTAATGGTGTATTAACATGTACTTATGTTGTGTAGAAAGTTTAAAATCAAATTAGATTTTTTACAAACTTTTAAAGTTGCTCCAAAATTTACTAAAAGTTCCTGTACTTGTACAGGAATTTTGGCCAAAATTCACCAAATTTGAAAAGAAGAGACTAGTTTATTTTTATTACATGTATGAAGTGTACATTATATTATCATTACCATAATATTATAGGCAGGTGGGGGTAGGAATGAAGTGGACCCAAGGTTCATATCGTTATTTAGTACATTCAACGTCACATTCCCATCCCACGAGTCTTTATTCCACATATACTCAGCTATACTGGCTGGATACCTCATCCCTTTCAACACTAAAGTACAATCACTTGCTAAGACACTGACCACAGCAACACTCGAGTTGTACCAACGAGTAGTGAGGGACCTCCCGCCCACTCCTTCTAAGTTCCATTATATATTTAACCTGAAGGACCTGTCTAGGATCTATCATGGACTCTCACTGATTAAACCCGACAGGTTTGATGATCCTCCATCTTTAGTTAGAGTTTGGAGGAATGAATGCCACAGAGTCTTCTATGATAGACTCACCAACAATAAAGACAGGAATATTGTTAAAGTAATAACCATTGAGAATATACCATTATTGGCCTCGCCTACGCGAGGTATAGGTAGTTGTTGTGTGTGTCTGTCATTACCCGAGACCGCGTAGGCGTTGGTCGAGGGTAAAGCAGTCGTCCTGTCTGTGTGTTCGCTTTGACCTCCACTTTTGAGCTGACACTGCTTTCTTGTCTTGTCCTAGAGAGTCTTATAATCAACACTGGCTCTAGAAAAAGTTATTCTCCGTCTTGGGAATCCTTGATTTGTCTTTTCCGTGGTAAAAGAAGCTGGCAAAGTCGCCAAACGTAGTCGGCTCTCCTGCAGCTCTTTTGTAGTGAAAGCAAAAGAGCAACAGGGCAGATAAAACAATAAAGCAAAGCCTCAACTTTCATTAATATGAGAGGAATTGCTCCAATCTTCTTCGTTTTAAAGATATGATAGCCCAAACTAATTGTGAGTTTAGCTGAGGCTCTCTTCTCCCGAGGTAGCGGCCAGAGTCTTTTAACATTAGGGACTAGATAGCAGTTTGTATGCAACAAATAGAGCCTATCAAATGTATGCTAAACTTTTTAAAAGTCGAGAAAAACCAAAGCTTTCTTCACCACTTAGGGCCATGTGCCACCATTTACTGTGTGTGGGGTGGAGCATGGCTTGATTGAACCACACATAGATATTAGAGTACAGAGGGATTGGAAACGGGGTATCTCCGTATACATCGCTAGGATACGGATGCTAGTTGACATTTGCATCTAGCAACGCCTAGCAACGGAGACTGTCTTTGAGCGAGAGCTGTCTTTTTGAGACCTGTCATTCCAGCAGTGGTGTCACTATACGTCATTATTTATATCAAAGGAAGCAGAAGAGACTAGCATCTATCCCCAGACTAATTTTTATGTTGCTAGCATCATCATTTGCACTGAATATTTGCTCTGGAATGAGAATGCTTAGAATGACATTTTGTTTTGTACCCTTATCTCAGTAGTGTTAGACAGAAGACAATAACTGATTCACCCACTCAATAGAGATTCATAATGTGGAGGTCGCCCACTATGTTTCGTTTGGAAATATGATTGCATCTTTCTGTAACAATAGATTTACTGATTAGTTTGAGAGGTTTGTTTTGTACCCTTAACATAAAAACCAAAGGGTCTGTGACATTAACTATCACACCATCGTATTGCTTAGAACACACCGGAGGTCGCCAACACCATTTCTATCAATAGGTTGTACAAATCAAAATATAGAACTAAATATAGTAAATGTGATCAACAATTCATAAAACACTGAATTTAAACTGCAAACAGATACATTGCTACAGCAGACAGCTTGGGCAAACAGAAAGAATGTCTCTCAACATTATTGAAGGGTTACCTGTATAAAATAAGACTTTATGCAACAAAAAACCACCTGAGAAGTTTGCTTACCTTTTTCAACTTTCAGCCATTTTAATATTACATACGAGTATTTAGAGAAATTATTTACGGTACTATCAACTAGCATTTTCCTGTTGCTACGGCCCGTTTCCAATCCCTATGTACTCTAATATCTATGAACCACACCTTCATTGCAGCCACACCTTTACATTGCTGCAGCTAACAGCAGTGCAGCAAATATGCTGGAGCTCTTTGTCTAAAAAAACAAAAAAATTCTCTGTCTGTCTAAAACATTCACTAAGTTTTAATAAATCTAGTACATGCTGAAGCTTCTTCTCTGTCTCAAAACTTTCACCAATTATTTACTCTTAATTTATTGAAACTGTTACATACAGATTGTGTCGAGGGTATGCACTTTAGTGCTCTCGTTCATTCATTCATTCATTCATTCTGTACAACTGAAATTTGTTTTTAATAAACAATAACTTTAGCACAGCGTGTTCTAAGCTCCTAAATCTTTCTTTTTGACGTGGAAAAGTCTTTCTTAACTGTTTTGTGTTGCTCAAATACAAGTGCTAGGTACAGAAGCTTCAAAGTAAGAAAATCGAGTAGTTGGGCCAAGTTCCGTTGTGTTGGCACTTTAGAGATAGCTGGTAGCATTTTTCAGTAGATTAGAACATGGCCTTCAAAAATTATGAACAGATTTCTCTAAATCTTACTTGATGAAGAGTTATACTTACTTGAAATTGTTGAGGTCACTCGTTTGTGCAGCGCTAGAGCAACAACTTGCTGGGTTATAGGTACTACAGTACCTATACTATCTCAAATATACAAAGGCAGCGACTTTTTTGTCAGCAAGTTTATCATATATTGCTGATTAGTAAAGAAAAAGTGAAGCTTCTTTCTCACATGGTCTTCTTGCTGACACTCATGGAATGCCACACCTTCAATCTACATGCATGGGAGGGGCTGGAGCTGCTTGCATGTATGTGCTGCAGTGCTGCTACTTCTGCAGGTATTCAAGAGCAAGTGCAACTGTAGGAAGCTAGTGTTGAGCAGACTCTCTTCATGCTGATAATCAAACAGTTA